ATTCACCATACAAACACTAAAACTACAACACAAACACACACTGCATTCACCATACACACACTAAAACCACAAGACAGACACACACTGCATACACTATACACACACTAAAGCCACAACACAAACACACACTGCATACACTATACACACACTAAAACTACAACACACACTGCATTCACCATACACACACTAAAGCCACAACACAAACACACACTGCATTCACCATACACACACTAAAACCACAAGACAGACACACACTGCATACACTATACACACACAAAAGCCACAACACAAACACACACTGCATACACTATACACACACTAAAACTACAACACACACTGCATTCACCATACACACACTAAAACCACAACACAAACACACACTGAATACACTATACACACACTAAAACTAAAACACACACACTGCATTCACCATACACACACTAAAACCACAACACAATCACACACTGCATTCACCATACGCACACTAAAACCACAACACAAACACAGCATTCACCATACACACACTAAAACCACAACACAAACACAGCATTCACCATACACACACTAAAACCACAACACAAACACAGCATTCACCATACACACACTAAAACTACAACACAAACACACTCTGCATTCACTACACAAACATACACTTTATCTAAAACACACAAAACTACATCCATTATACAAATGTGCACTCTGTATCCATTTTACACCACACACATCCTTGTGGACGGACTCAGAATGGACCCCGTGGGCAGACTCGGGGACAGGTCCGGGGGGCCCAGACTTTGAACTGTGTCAGGGGCCCCAAAATGTCTGATGGCAGCCCTGGGTAGTAGATACCAGAAATAGCCTTCCAGTGGGAGCAGTAACAGTGATATAGAAAGGGTAGTAGATACCTGGAATAGCCTTCCAGTGGGAGCAGTAACAGTGATATAGAAAGGGTGGCAGATACCTGGAATAGTTGTCCAGTGGGAGCAGTAACAGTGATATAGAAAGGGTAGTAGATACCTGGAATAACCTTCCAGTGAGAGCAGTAACAGTGATATAGAAAGGGTAGTAGATACCTGGAATAGCCTTCCAGTGAGAGCAGTAACAGTGATATAGAAAGGGTAGTAGATACCTGGAATAGCCTTCCAGTGGGAGCAGTAACAGTGATATAGAAAGGGTAGTAGATACCTGGAATAGCCTTCCAGTGGGAGCAGTAACAGTGATATAGAAAGGGTAGTAGATACCTGGAATAACCTTCTAGTGGGAGCAGTAACAGTGATATAGAAAGGGTAGTAGATACCTGGAATAGCCTTCCAGTGGAAGCAGAAAAGGCTAACAGTAGTATAGCAAGGGTAGTAGATACCTGGAATACCCTTCCAGTGGAAGCAGTAAAGGCTAACAGTGATACAGAAAGGGTAGTAGATACCTGGAATAGCCTTCTAGTGGAAGCAGTAACAGTAATATAGAAATGGTAGTAGATACCTGGAATAACCTTCCAGTGGGAGCAGTAACAGGGATATAGAAAGGGTAGTAGGTACCTGGAATAGCCTTCCAGTGGGAGCAGTAACAGTGATATAGAAAGGGTAGTAGATACCTGGAATAGCCTTCCAGTGGGGGCAGTAACAGTGATATAGAAAGAGTAGTAAATACCGGGAATAGTCTTCCAGTGGAAGCAGTAACAGTGATATAGAAATGGTAGTAGATACCTGGAATAGCCTTCCAGTGGAATTGGTAAAGGCTAACAGTAATATAGCAAGGGTAGTAGGTACCTGGAATAACCTTCCAGTGGAAGCAGTAAAGGATAACAGTGATATAGAAAGGGTAGTAGATATCGGGAATAGCCTTCCAGTGGAAGAAGTTAAGGCTAGCAATGATATAGAAATGGTAGTAGATACCTGGAATAGCCTTCCAGTGGGAGCAGTAACAGGCGTTTAGGCACTGTAGTGAGTGTTTACATTTAACATTTAAATACATAAAAGGAATCAACACAGTAAAGGAGGAGATTATATATAAAAGAAGAAAAACGACCACAACAAGAGGACATGGTCTTAAATTAGAGGGGCAAAGGTTTAAAAATAATATTAGGAAGCATTACTTTACTGAGAGGGTAGTGGATCCATGGAATAGCATTCCAGCTGAAGTGGTAAGGGTAAACACAGTGAAGGAGTTTAAGCATGCGTTCGGGGCAATGATGTGGGGTTAGAACATATAGCGCGGGGGTTGGGGCAGTAGTGAAGTTTTGTGGCAGTATTGGGGGGTTTGGACCTATAGTGGGGTGTTAGGGGCACTAGCTGGGGGTAAGGACTTTAAGGGATGTAGGGGGTTAAAAAGAGGAAGCCTTAAAAGACATATATAAATATAGATATATATATATATATATATATATATATATATATATTTTTTTTTTTTTAAATGTTTCTTCCCCCACCCGCAAGCTTCCATTGGCCAGGGAAGGGTAGCCCGGCTCCCTGGTGGTCTGGTAGGAAATACATACAATAGTTTACACAGAATTAGAAGCAATTTGCTCTTTATAAACCATCTTACAGGACTGTTAATATTAGAATGAGTTGCGGCTCTGCTCTCGATAACGTGGCTGTAACAAAGAAACAATGAACAGTTGACATTATTACACAATTAAACCTAAAGTTACTGGAGGGCCAAGCACCAAGTGTGACTCAAGGAGTCTGGGAGTGCGAGGAGTTAAATCCTCCAATAAAGTCCTTTAATGTTGTGAGGAATTATTTAGCTGCTAATTAATCTGTCATGGAATCGGATTATTAATATGACTTAATTATTGTATTCGTCGCCTAATAATGTCTGCACTTTTCAACCCTCAGGTAAGTACATCCAGGAAATGCATGGGGCATTAAACCGTAAGTGTGACTCTCTGTATTAACCCCCAGAACCCCTTTATGTTATCAGAGGGTGAAGGTATATATTTAGCAGTACCCCCCAATCCTTTCATTAACCCCCAGAACCCCTTTATGTTATCAGAGGGTGAAGGTATATATTTAGCAGTACCCCCAATCCTTTCATTAACCCCCAGAACCCCTTTATGTTATCAGAGGGTGAAGGTATATATTTAGCAGTACCCCCCAATCCTTTCATTAACCCCCAGAACCCCTTTATGTTATCAGAGGGTGAAGGTATATATTTAGCAGTACCCCCAATCCTTTCATTAACCCCCAGAACCCCTTTATGTTATCAGAGGGTGACGGTATATATTTAGCAGTACCCCCCAATCCTTTCATTAACCCCCAGAACCCCTTTATGTTATCAGAGGGTGACGGTATATATTTAGCAGTACCCCCCAATCCTTTCATTAACCCCCAGAACCCCTTTATGTTATCAGAGGGTGACGGTATATATTTAGCAGTACCCCCCAATCCTTTCATTAACCCCCAGAACCCCTTTATGTTATCAGAGGGTGACGGTATATATTTAGCAGTACCCCCCCAACCTTTGTATTAACCCTGGTTCGTTTTAACACACTCTTGGGTCGTAGTGGATCACTTTCCTCTCTGTTCCTTATAGGCAGGGCCGGCGCTACCTGTAAGGCGGACTAGGCAGCCGCATAGGGCGCCCCTTGGGAGGGGGCGCCGCCAGGAGCGCCGGCCCCCCCCCATCCTGCAGCCGCCCGAGCGCTGAGGAGAGGGGCTGACAGGAGGGAAGCGCTCAGCATTCAGCGATCCCTCCTGTCACTCCCTCTGTAGTAGCGTGGCCGAGCACAGTATAGTCCGCGGGTACAGGGAGCAGCTGTCTCCTGTACCAGGCCGGACTAACAGGAAGTGCACACTGAGTGTGCACTTCCTGTTTGTCCGGCCGGGTACAGGAAACAACAGTTCCCTGTACCCGCGGACTATACTGTGCTCGGCCACACTACCACACAGGTAGGGGGGAGGGGGAAGAAAGAGGGAGGGAGGGAGGAGAAGGAAACAGGAGGAGGGAGGAGGGGGGGAAGGAAACAGGAGGGAGGGGAGTGGGGAAGGAAACAGGAGGGAGGGAGTGGAGGGGGAGAAGGAAGTCAGGGGGGGAGGGGGGAGAAGGAAACAGGAGGGAGGGGGGAGAAGGAACAGGAGGGGAGGGGGGGGGAGGAAGCAGGAGGAGGGAGGAGGAGGGAGGGGAGGAGGGGAGAAGGAAACGGAGGGAGGAGGAAGAAACAGGAGGAGGGGGAGAAAAACAGGAGGGAGGGAGGGGGGGTGGAAGGAAACAGGAGGAGGGAGGGGAAGAAAGAAACAGGAGGGAGGGGGGGTTGAAAGAAACAGGAGGAGGGGGGAGGAGGGAAACAGGGAGGGGAGGGGGGGGGGGGAGAAGGAAACAGGGAGGTAGGGAGGGGGGGAGAAGGAACAGGAGGAGGAGGGAAGGAAACGAGGAGGGAGGGAGGGAGGGGGGAGAAGGAAACAGGAGGGGGAGGTGGGAGAAGGAGACTGGTGGGTGGGGGGAGAAGGAAACAGGGAGGAGGGAGGGGAGAAGGAAACAGGGAGGGGGGGGAGGGGGGAGAAGGAGAGGGAGGGAGGGGGAAGAAAGAAAACAGGAGGGAGGGGGGAAGGAAACAGGGAGGGAGGGAGGGGGAGAAGGAAACAGGAGGGAGTGAGGGGGGGGAGGGGGAGGGGAAGAAGGCCAGGAGGGAGGGAGGGGGGGGGGAGAAGGAAACAGGAGGGAGGGGAGGGGGGAGAAAGAACAGGAGGGAGGGAGGGGAGAAAGAAACAGGGAGGGAGGGGGAGGCTGAAACAGGGAGGAGGGGGAAGAAAGAAACAGGAGGGGAGGGAGGGGAGGAAGGGAACAGGAGGGAGGGAGGGAGGGGAAAGAAACTGACAGGGGAGGGGGGAGAAAGAAACTGACAGGGGAGGGGGGAGAAAGAAACTGACAGGGGAGGGGGGGAGAAAGAAACTAAGGGGGGGGAACTAACAGGGAGGGGGGAGACATTGACAGGGAGAGGGGAGTGACAGGGGAGGGGGAATGAGAGTAACAAGGGAGGGGGGGAGAAGAGAGTGACAAGGGAGGGGGGAGAGATTGACATCCATCACACACACACACACACACAATCACACACAATGCACCCCTTACACACAAAGACAATGAACCCCTTGCACACAGAAAAACACACAATGCATTACACACACACACGCAATGCAACCCTTACACACAATGCATCCCTTACACACACAGAAACACACAATGCATTCCTTACACACACTCAATGCACCCCTTAAACACACTCAAAGCACCCCTTACAGACTCACACACTTCATCCCTTACATACACAGAAACACACATTGCAGCCCTTACACATACAAACACAGATTTACACAATGCATTCCTTACAAACATATCAGGACATCCCCTACACACTCTACCCCCTGTGAACAAACTCATTGGTGGAACATGAAGGTGGACCCTGGGACCCAGACCTTGAGCTATGTAAAGGGCCCCCAAAAAATGGAGCTGCTTCCCGTTCTCCCAGAACATTGATTTTTGTGACCACAGTTACAAACAGCCTCCAGAGAGCCTGTTCTACACCAGACCAGTGGAGCCAGACTGCAGCTAGAGCCCATCATCATCCTCATCTCGTTGTAAGTAGGCAATCTAGTATATTATTCGTGGCACTAAGCTCTAATTTACCTCACATTAAAGAAACACTATAGTCCCCAGAACCACAGCAGCTTAATGTAGTGGTCCTGGTGTCTATAGCCTGTCCCTGCAGGCCTTTTAATGTAAACACAGCGGCACTGCAGCACTAGCGTTAGTTAACATGGCAGGTCATATGGGTGGGGCATTGTGATGTCTCGGGGGGGGGGGGCGGCAAACTTTACTTTTGCCTAGGGCGGCAAAAATCCTTGCACCGGCCCTGCTTATAGGCAGACACTAGTGTCTGGGATTCTGACAGACGAACAACATCCATTAATGCTGGAGCCACTTTAAGGCCCTGGAGGGATTCTGGGACATATTTCATTTACTATCTCCCAGAGCCAATTTTAGGCAACGTTGGAAATGGTGAATTCTACACCCAGCTTCTCCCCTTGGTA